TTTCGTTATTTGTCGCTGCAAAATATGCGGGCATCATGTTCTTGAAAGCATGGTTACATTATCAACCATCTAATTCTCCTCAGCAGAATCCGAATGTATTAGACTGTAAATACCAAACCCAGCCACTGAAAAGAAATCCTAGTTAATTCCCATTCGCCCCCCCCCCCAAATCCCCATTTGATATCCACACACTTCCTTCCTTCTCGTTCTTCAAAGTGGCCAGTTTCTAGTATTTTTTTCACCAAAATTCTATATGCATTTCTTGTCTCCAGCTCATCATTTGACCACACTAACAAAATTTCGGCCCCCAGAATGAATAGTGCCTCCTTGCAAATGGAGACATGTGGCATGCCGTTCATACCGAATCTCGAGTGCTGAGAGCAGACAGGCGGACTGACGTACATGTGTGTGTGTGTGTGGGGGGGGGGGTGAAGTAAATTGCGCGAGAACTGCCAGACTTCGGTCGGCCTTGAACCAACATTTTAGGCCGCTGTTTCCCGTGATCCTGTTTGCTCGTAGCAAAAACTTCTAGTACAGCGAGTGCGCATACTTAGAGAAGGCGAGCGCACAGAGCATTCTAGTACGTGCTCAAGTCAAAACATGTTTTTATTTATTGCTTTCCTGGCCGGAAACCTGGCCTATCACTGCGATCGGTGAGATAGCGAGGCACACAACATTTGAGTGGTAGGCCGGATTACAGGCCATTAAAATGAATCTTAATACAATAACTCGTTCATGTGCCAAGTGTGTAGGGAGTACTCGAAAGTGGGATTTTGCGATGGCGGTGATGTAACTTTGTTTCCATAACAACAACAAAATGTCTTGGTCAGCCGCCCAAGGAGGACTGCCAAATGTATAATGGCGAAGTTGTCCCTGTGCTTAACTGATTGAGTACTATGCCATGAAGGCGTATTGGGGGGTGGATATGTAGATCCACATTCTCTTTAACTCGGCACTAGCTGGAGCTGAATGGTCAGCTTCACCCCCGGGGAAAGTCCCCGGTACCCATTGGATGGGAGGTTGAGTGGATCTCAGAGCCGGTCTGGACGACGTGGATATCCCACCGGCCCGTAGCCAGTCGCTGTACCGACTGCGCTGTTAAGATATAATGGCAGAAAGTACAATGAAATTTCGTAGTACCGGTTTTGAAAAATCTGTCACTGGCATCAATGAAATAGTTTTCTCAGATAATGGTAAAGTTGTCCCTTTGCTTAATAAGGCATCCCGCCATGAAGCCGGCATGGGAATGGTGGACTGTTTCTTAACCTTGGCACTAGACGGAGAGGAGTGGTCAGTTTCACGCCCCGACCGCCTTACTCCTGGAAACAGTCTCAGGTGTCCATTGAATAGGAGGCTGTGTAGGGTCCAGAACGTGCCTGGGTGCTGTTGAGAAGAGCATATTGTTTCTGCCGTAAATCGAATCTCGATTTCTCAGGCCCAGCCCGGTATCCTAGTCAATGCACGGACCGAGGCACGCCTCTACCTTTCCTGTAACGAGTGTTACACATTTTTGTAATACACAGAACCATGCTACTGGGTGCCTAAAACGCGTGAGAAGGTGAGCAGACGAATAAGGAGTCCGCGTGATTAAATTTACACAACAAATACGACGTGGCCTAGACAGGCTTGTCTTCGGACGGCATATCTCTAGGGTTACTGCAATACGTGTTACAGTCCCTACCACTAACTCGATCCTGGCCCAGTTGTGCTGTCCACGCTCCTCAAAAACCACTTCGATATTATCGCACCTCTTCCGTCTGTATTTTAAAGAGGCATTACACACAAAATTTATTTATTTATTAGAGAGTACGGTATTCTGGGTTTAACGTTTGTGTAGTTCGGAAACAGCACGACGTTTCGGAGGACCGTATCGCGTACATATTCACCTTTCATGCTTATCTTTTATTGGTGGGTTCTTCCGTCGTAAGTTACAGCTTCTCGTCTTGTGATCTCAGAGAAGTGTCTGGATCACGCAGTTAGCGATTAACTGTTTGAACCTCAGTAGTCGCTACATGCACCAAAACTGCGCACTTTTCCCACAGAGTGTATTTCTGTGATTCATACGATTGTCATGAAAACCCGATCATTTCTTTAAACGGCATCGAACTATTGCTCTTATCAATGGAGATGTAGTGTTTTTTGTGAGTTAGGAACTGAATTTTAAATATGATTTTCGTGAATATGACGCTTTAAGTAACCGCAGGTGACCCTATGACGTTGCAGTCCAGTTTCCACGACACTGCGTCCTCCTGCCCCCTCCAGTACATGCTTATTGCCGACACTAAATCAGCAACCCCAACCTCCGACCACCATGCGTCTGTTACCTGACATCTGGACAATACCAATTTGAGCTACATGATGCAACTAGACAAACGTTTTTGTCGGCTTGTGTTCTTTTTGTAATGCTCATGACTCGTAATCTGGAGGTGCTCGGTTTGGCTCTCGGCCTGGGCACCGACTGTCCCGAGGTTTCTTATGCTTTCCTCAGTCCTTCCAGGCAAATGCGGAGACAGCGTCTCGCTCGGGCCGCGAGCGCTTCCTTCCAGTTCCTTTCTAATTCATCATCGTACGCTTCGACGCTGCTGACGTCATAAAGTAACCCTCAAAAAAGGCAAGTTTTAAAAACATGAAACAACTCATATTACAGGCTGCATCTGAAGTCATCAGTGATAACTGCGATGTGACGCCGTTTAGTCCGGTACAAATTTACTGATGTTTCGGAGGAATGTACTGCCTCATCTTCTGGGTCAAAGATATTTTAAACAAACAGCGGCTTCCGCCGAAATGTCGGTAAGCTTCTATCGGACTACAAGGCATCATATCCCAGAACACAGTACTCTTACGCGTATATTTACACTTCAGCAGTATGATCTTTACGAAAGAACGTGTGAGATGCTAGCATAATGAGGTCTTTCTGTCCCCGTATTTTGATTACAAAAGAAAATGAGTGATTTCCATTAAATTTGTCATAGGCATGAGAAGTTTAGGCTTCACTCATATCGGCCCAATGCAACGCCTACTTACGTGATGACAATGTATATAGACGTCAGAACGCACTTTTATATGTTAAAGGCCCTATATTTAAGGAATTACACGGGAAGTAATGACTCCAAGGAGTGTGGGTAGCTATGTATCTAATAAAGAGTACAAAGAAAAAAAACAGGTCCCGCGAACGTGTCCTTTCCAATGACGAGGTTGTTTCTATGAATACAATGCGTGTTTGAAGACTGCTTACCTGAACGGTTCTGTACACATCAATGCCAATGCTGTTTTCTACTGTGGACCTAACAGAGAACACTTAAATTATATTATAAATAACATTTGCGCCATACTCTTGCCAATATGTACGGCAGCCATGGGTCTTGCCGCGATGTACAAGTATTTAGAATCCTAATTCCCCAAAATTTGGCTAAGTACATGGCTAAATCTGAATTTCTTGTCTTGAGTCGCATTCCTTCCGTAGAGTTTTAGCTTCAACTGCGAGCTTGATAGGGAGAGCAACCGCGCCCCGGGCGGGCACATTTATGAGTTGCTCTGAGTTTCCATCGTCATAGCCTATTTTCTCTTATCGCCATGAAACTAGGTGAAGCGTCCCCGTTCCCTCTTCAGCTGTTGTCTAATGGTTTCCATGTTGGTTTATTGTGCAAGACTATTTTAATTTCCCAACCCTTCCGACCGCGCGACGTGAACATTACAAATCACATTCCTTCCTCCCTTTTCCTGCTACTTAATGTCCCTTGGCACTTTGTTCACCAATGATGGGCCAAGTTATACACCCACACAAACAAACATAAATGAAGAACGCCCTGGCGCGTGTTGCTAAGGAGACTCGGAATAGAGGTCAGAATGGGGCGCGAAAGAAAACATGGACGCCTCGAGCAGCCAAAATCAATACGAACTGCCAAAACTTCGTTCCCAGTAAGCTGGGGCTGCCTGTCTCTAGCTCGGGGTCCCACGAGGAAAGCTTTGGATTGTAAAATACTGCAGAAACCTGTCACTTCTTCCGACCGAGATTCGAAGCAGGAACTACTAAAATGTGTTCCGGGACATTTCTGAAATCCTTAAAGAAAAACAGCCTAAAGATTAGGAAAGTGTGCCAGTTTGCTAGTGGAATATCAAAATGCAGACGAGAAAATGTAGGCATGAGAGGATCTTCATGATGTAGTATGAGAGGAGAAAAAGATTATATCAAATTAGCGTTCTTTCTGTCGCGCAGTCCTTCAGTCTAATTTATCAGCCACTTCTTTACATGTACTCAAATCATAAATAATATATAGCTCAGGGCTGAGAGGGATCGTGGCCTATTTTAAAGCAATATCCCAGAAAAAACACAAAAGCAAGGAAGGCTTGGGAATATAATAAACAGTCCCACATAGAAAAACAGAAATGTGACAGGACCAGGGCCTATTTTAGAGCATTGTCCCAGTATGTAAAAACTAAAAGCATCGCTGGGTTGGAGGTTACTGTCAAGTAGTCCCACATAGGAAAAGGGAAGTGTGAAAGGATTGGCGCGTATTTACACCACTGTTCCACCGGAGGAAGACCACAGAGGTGTTGGGGCCTATTCTAAAATGCTGTCCCAGCAGAGAAAACCCACAGCGTTTAGAAGGTTCAGTGGATACTTTAAAGCACTGTCCCAGCACAGGAAGACCACAGAAGGGTAGAATGACACACGCCTATTTTAGAGAATTATTCCACACAGGAAAACAAGTGTGGAAGGATTGGAGCCTATTCTTAAGTACTATCCCAGCATGGGAGAACCACAGTATGTAACCCAGGACAGCAAGCATCCTGGCCAATACTGGATCTGGGGATCTGGACCCTTGGTATAAGGATAGCTGACAGAGTCTGTGGTGATTACTGTGACTCAATTTGAAACGCTGATGTATCAATCAAGTGGCAAGGTTCTGATGGACAAGGGAGGATGTGGAAAGAAAATATCTGCAGCAGAGGGCAGTTGTTCACAGTAATAAATACTGATTTACTCCAAAGTCACAATATAAATATACAATATTATCATTTTTAATATTCTCAGAAAATAACACTTCCCACAGGCATTTCCAAACACAGCTTTTTGCAACACCGACACGTGGCACAACACACTTGACAACGTTCGATTCTCAAGGCAGAAAAGTATTAACAGCTTTCTTTCATTTTTACACCAGACCTTGGTTATCACTTGTTTGAATTCCTGCTTTGAATTTTTTGTTTCTTCTACCTAGTTTTACATGATCATATAACTAGAAGGTATTTAGTAAAATTTCTTGGCAGACCGTAAAAACAGGGTGGTCCATATGAAGAGAAAACATTTATTGATAAAAGGCAGACTTGGATTAAAAATCTGCATTCGCTTACATATTGTCAAAATGGAATACGATGATTAATAGTTATAATAAAGCAGGCAATTTGTTCAACAACTGTGTTTTTGATAATACGTTAAGTATTGTACATAGGTTCACAAAAACATTGATCAGTTGGTGGAGTCTGTGAACTTGGTCCCACACTGCAAGGGTATATAAAAGGGGAGATATGGCGCAGAAGTGATACGGTGGGCGACGCTTGGCGACGCAGCAGCCAGTTATCAAAAATATTGTTACAAGTTGCAAACGAAAAACAAAAACAATTCATGATCCATTCCAACTGGCATGAGACACCTATGTACACATCCTCATTTTGGGGATTACACTAATTTACAGGCTGAAACTACACAGTTTCCAAATTATCACTAAAAAGAGGAAACTACTAAAAACAATCAAAGCAATACTGGCAAAAGTTCAGTCTTGTTCAAAATTCTGTCACAAATCCTTAGCACCTGGGTGACAAAACAAATCTAATCTCACAATTATATTAAAGTGTACACTTAATTTTCAATTACACTTAACTCCAATTTGAAATTAATTTAATCCGAGTCTCATCCAAGTGCTAAAGGACACAAACATATCGCAACATATCACCGTGTTTGTTCAGCTGAGATCTAACCAAATACAGTTTAGATTTGAAGAAGAAAACAGTATCACAACCAATGAATACATGCATACACACTCAACTAGTTCGGCTATAGTACCAGTTGAGCGCGCTTCACACTCTTAAACACATCTCTTTTGAATTTTCTTAGATATAATATATTAATTTCTGTAATTTAAATACATTTCCTTTTTACAAATCGCGTGGTCTCCCTCTGAAAATACGATTTTGAAACAAGACTAGATTTGAAACATCACATTAAAGACAGTAATTAATTTTGATATGTCAAACATAACAAATCAGAGTAAAGAAATGAGTCACCCATTTCATGAGTACAGGACCATAAGTAGAATCTACAAAACACATTTTATCACAAGGCCAAGAACCACTTCCATTGGATGGTAAAAATAAGAATATTTCATATAAATAAGCACAAACAACCACTTTCAGGACAATCTGTGGAAATAATTACAAGACACTTTGGCATTAATGACACAAACTGTGCACACTGTGGCACAATCATCTGCGCAAATGGTCCTGTGAACTGACTTACTGCGTGAAAAGTGTAACAGAGACGAGATTTAGCACGAAAGGAAACCACACAGGGACTGGGCAATATCATTTTGTGTATAGAAGCTTATTTAAAAAAATAGATTATGTACATATCATTCCATGCCCATATCAGAGTTTTATATATACCTTGCAATCATTGTGGTTTGGAATGAATACAAACACACGCATCACACTTGCAAAGGGGATGAAGTAACGAATAACAGCATGGTTTTGCAATGGAATGAGATTTGGAAGTAATATTCCTTTGCAAGCATGATACAGTGATCTATGGTTGAGAATTCTTAAATTTGTAACAATGGAGTACAAGCACACAACAATCAAGTGCAGAATGGTATTTACAGAATCTGTCACTGCTGCCATTTTCTTTCTGAGCGAGTATGGAGCACTTATGTATCTTTGTGGTCTTATGGACTGATATGTTACATAAGAATTTGGAATAGATGGGCTGATACACAAATACTGAACATGATGAACCAAGGAGTAACACTTCTCAAACCAAAATGGCATGCATTTCTCTGCAGAGAAAGAAAACCAACAGGAGAGTCATACTATAATAAAGTGGATTATATGTGTGTGTGTATATATATATATTCTATAACCAAATGAATTAAACCTTGTATAAAAATATGGTTATCAGTTAAACCATTAATGTGAACCAAGTTATCGGTAGAACTAAACATATATGATGAATAACTTGATGATGCATGTGTAGTAAACGTAATATGTATGTTTTTTTGTCTTTTTTTTTAACTTTAACATTTGTAATATAGAACAGAAGCCCTCACAGGCTGAACACAAGTATGTTTGATTGATATATCAAGTTAATTCGTGTATTGTATCATGTAAAAAAACAGGTTGGTTAAAAAATTACACAAATCAAAAATCCCTTCTACTGCTAAAACTATTCGCAACAGCAGCTATGTTACTGTTAACATAATTAACATGACAAAACAAATTGTTGCAAACGAAGCGCAGACTCACAGCTGGAACTGGACATGACTCACGTTACTCCAGCAAACTTCAGCAACACTCACCCTTCTACAAAATTTGACAAACATCTGCTTTCACTTTGTGAGCGTACAAGGATGCAGGATTAAGAGATGTGCAGACATGATCTCTACAATGTGGAAAGAAAACGTCATGTGAACAATTTACAAGCTTATCTGAAGCTTCAGGTACAGTTCCCAGTCCTTTCTGTTTGTCAAGTTTTGTACAATGGAATGTTGGAATGAAATTGCGGCTCTTCTGTTGACTGTGCGATACGTGTAGCTGCTGTTGAGTGCTGTGGTAACTTGAGAAATTTTGAAACGTTAATGTCATTAGGGCCTGTCAGCATTCATACAAATATCACAATCAACACAAGATGGGAAAGCAAAATTCTGTACATTACATGTCACAAAAATAAAAAAGTTGTTTCAAACACCTTTTTCAGAATTGCACTGGGATGTGTCCATAATTCATCTTACATATATATTTATATTTAATATATATATTAAAAGAAAAGGAATCATTCTGGGAACATTTTACAAATGCTCATTGGAATAATTATAATAAAGCTTGGGGGAAGCTGAGCTTCCGGCTGTTTGATATATTAGCAGTATTCTATGCATTTAGCACTGGATCTTTTGCCTGTTGCTAACTTTTTCCATCATGAAGAATAACCGGCTTGAGATCGTATAAAACTCTGGCACATGATTGGTTGGAATGTTTATTTGCTGCATGGAGGGGGCAAACCAAATCTTCTCTGTCAAACTAGGGACTGCACTATTGTTGAAAATGGAGCTGGGTTGCACTGAACAAAAGTGTCTGTGGTCGGAATCTGTTAGTTGCTGCTGCTGTTAATGCACCTTCACTCTTGATTCTCTTCCTTCATTTTTGAACATCTTCATCTCTTTTAAAATGTAAATATATTTATATACGTACAGTATGTGTATATTTTAAGGTCGTACCATTTCTAATTGCACTTCAATTGTCAAAAACAAAAATCCATTTTTTTCATATATATAAACTAGTCTAGTATATATAAGATATCAATAGAGAAAATATACATTCAAAATTTGGCTTCATCACAGACAGTAAAATTCTTGGTGAATCCCAAGATCTAAAAAAAACTTTAATCCAACATCAAAGCAGTCTGCCTTATACTTTATTTCTTTAGAACACTTCAAATGGAACTTGTGTTGCAGCGTGGGGAACCAATGAGATTCATGTTCTGAAACTTTGTATAGTTTTTACATACAAAGTGAATATGGCACACCCACAGTTGGCAACAGGAAGTCTCAAATTGAACATAACAAAACATGAATTGATTTAAACTTGTGCTGCACTCTTCACAAGTTTCATTTAAACTTCAGAACTTGCATCCAAACACACCGACACACATGAACATGAATAACGCATATGACACTCACACATAAAGTACATGTACACAAATATGAAATGAAACTGCTTTGATGGATGTCATCTTGGGAAACCGCCACAGAACATTTTTTTGTTGGACTAAAAAAAATATTTAAAAAGTCACCACGAATGTATACAGTTAATTTTCCAACAATTTTTAAACACCCTCACTATATATATATATATGTGTGTGTGTATGTATATATATATATAGATAGATAAATTATCGAATTTGATAAATATGTTTTTTCACATAGCTTTGGCAACATTACGATTGTCAACCTCAAAAAGAGAGAGAGAGATAAAAATATGCAGATGTACCAAAGGAAGAAAAAATTGTTTCCTCCAAAATGTAGCAGCAGGAAAACAGTGATAAGATTCAAACATTTTTGCTACAAAGGTGAAACAAAAATACAACAAAAACAAAAAACGTTCTCTCCCATCCCCAACAGATGGAAATGGGAGCAACCCAACTGACAGAACTATACACTAACATACAACATTCAACACCTACAAAAATCAGTACAGTAAGGTGACTAAAAAAAGATACACCTTGATAATAATATAATAATAAAATTCTGTCACATAGCATTTTGTATATAACATGCTAATTAATAGTGGCTAAAAGGAATTCAGTCTCTTAGTGAGTTGATCTTTGATTTGGTATCCTCTTTCTCCACTGGGTCTTCTCCTCCCTCTCCTTGTTTGTCATCTTTGGCAGCATCTCTATCAACTCTCTTTATATTTTTACTATCACAGGCACTTTCATCATTGACATCGTCATTAACATCACTGTTATCACCATCTGGCGCATTGTTGTCATCATCCTTAGATATGCCATTTGTTTCCTCTGTTTGTGATTCCAAGACATGTGTGCCAGCAAATAATCTTGCTGCTACCTCAGTGTCTTTTGCTGAAGGTGAAAAGGCATCTTCATCACCCTCTTCTTCCTCTACTGTACACTTTCGATGAACATCGCGATCTGCTGTCGATCCATTAGATGACGGAGAGAGATCAATAATCGCCGATATGCTCATGTCAGATTCTGTCACAGCAGTCTTGATGCTGCTGCACCCATGTGTGTTCTTCAACAAAGACTGCTGTTTCATGGAGTCATCATCAGAACTGCTTGCTCCCCCATCAGTTAGTGACAATGATACTGCACGCGGAAGGGGTGTCAGACGGCTGTTTCGGCACAACTGGTCCAGAAGAGCTTTGTTTGACATGTTCTCAGGGGCACTGGTATTGCTGCCTTCCTTGGGAGCTCCTGTAGGGAGGCCCATCTCCAGGCTGGAACGAATGATTCCATCTAGAAAGCTTCCATTAGCACCTGTCCCATCATACAGGCTCTCTGCCATTTCCCGTGCACTCTTCCCAAGTGTTCCACTTGAGTTTGAAGGCGGTGGACTTCGACTGGATGACGTGGACACATCCGCAGGACTACTTGCATCCCCAGCATGATGAACTCGAGAAGACTCTTCCTGAAGCTGCTGCATCATCTGTGATGCAAAAAATTCTGGGGTTTGGGTGTAGCCAACAGGAGTGTTGCTCACACTGCTGCGGGAGAAGTCTGGGATTGGCAGGTGGGGGAAAGGACTGGGTGGCCAGAATGTATATGGTGGGGCTGTTGCATATGGCAGTGGAGGCATGCTACCATGGTCAAACATAGGAGGAATTTTTAGACCATTGGGAGCATTTTGAATCCCAGAAGGTGGCGTGAAAGGAGCTTTTGGAGTTGATTTTGGAGGAATTTTGGGTTTCTCTAGAGTGGGGGCAGAGTGCCTCACAATGTTGCTGTCATCCTTCTTCTTGGTGTCATCCATGTGAGGCTTAGGTTCACGCTTGCGAGGCCTCATGAGGTGCCGCTCCTTTACTTTGTACTCAAGAGTGGAATGTGGCACACCAAAATGCGAACCAGCACGATGAACGCTCATTTCACCCCTCTGAACTGCCCTTACTGCCTCAATCAGACTGTCACGGTCATAGTTACGGTACTTTCCACGTTTTGGACGTGTTCCTTTCCCCCCTGTTGGGTTGCTAACACCACCAGCACTTCCCAATGATTTGCCAGCAGCTTGTGACAACACTTTTTGAGCATTTCTGTCATCAGATTGGGTGTTGTTGCTGTGTTGTTTGATGACAGAAGCAGTGACAGATGAAGGAGCACCTGCACCAAGCGGAGGCGTGAATCGGCCTCGTTTGAATGGAGGTTCAATACCAGTGTCATGCCCCAGAAAGAGTTTAGGTGGCAGCTGCAGTGGTGAGACGTCAGCTGAACTGTGCTGCTGGAACTTCTGGCTGATACTCTTGGCAATCACTTCCCTAAGGCTAACACCAATACCTTTCCCAACAAGACTCGAAGGGATGGTGGGAGGTGAAGAGCAGTCAGTGCCTCTTATGAACTGTTGACTAGAAGACTCTTGTGGCTCTGCAGCACTGCCACCACTACTAGAAGCCACTCCGTTCTTTGAAGTTGGTTTAAAGGACGGAATTTTCAGTATCACATTAGAAGGTGGAGTGGCCCCAGTTGATGAACAAGCTTCCGCATCAGGTGACTCTTCTGTGGCAACAGTGGAAGGTCTGATTGCTGGTTTTTCAGGATTTTCACCAGTAGTTTCATCAGCATGGGCACCATTTGGATGAAAGCTATGTTTCAAGTGGCGCTGTTTCTTCATCTGTTCTTCTGAGAGCAATTTGTCTTCTGCTATTATCCTTCGAACAAATTCTGGCAAGAGAGGTGTGGGGAATTTTGGAAGGAAATCTCCACCTACTGGACTTTTGTCTCCAGGTGTCGATGACCCTCCAGCCAGGTTCTTCTTGCTTCCAACAGTGTCAGCCACAGTGTCTCTGCTACGTTCAACGGATGTAGAAGCCAGGAACTGAGAAACATAAGGACCAAGAGAACTGTGTTCCATACCACCCCAAATGTCTGAAGTATTCTGAGAGAATCCAGGGTACACTGATGGAGAGGAACCATCTTCTCCATCCTCACTGACGGCGGCATGTCTGCGAAGCCCATCTTCAAGGAACCGTCCATGCTGTAGAAGAAGTGTTCTTAGTGGCTCACTGGCCATCAGACCTTTCCCAGCACCAAAAACTGAGAACCTCACAAGGTCTTCCACAGACAACAATGGTTCCCTCAATGCTTTCTCCACTTCACGCTCTTCCTCGGCTCCCGACAGCTCTTTCTCGTCTTCTTCTTCTTGAATTGGTTCAGTCTTTGGAACTACAGGTGTGTCTATGCCTTGTCCCACTGTGGTAGCACTGTTACCGAGCACTAGGTGGGAATCTCGTTCTCGCTCCATAGCCAACTTGTACACTTTGTTACGGAGGGTTGACCTCGGAATTCCATAGATGACAGCAGCTCGACGGGTGCCCAGCTTGCCACTCTGTATGTCACGAAGAGCTGCTTGCAGTTCTTCCTCTGTGTATGTTCTGCGCCCAGCCACTGTGCTCATGCGGGGTTTTGCCCTGTGAAGGAGGCACATGTACACAAGATTCCCCACATTTTAAACAGTAAACACACTAAGTCACTATTCTCAAAATCTAAATGCAGCAGTCCCTAAACGAATCCAAAGAAAATTACTGATACCTTTAATCAGTCTGACCTGCCTAATTTTTATGTTTCTATATCTGTTCTGAAATCACAATTTTGTATCCAAATTTTGAACAAGAGGCTTCAATGAAGGCTATTCTGAGAACAGGTAATGAATGTCATGGCCCCAACCAATTCTGTCAGCCTTGGTAATTCATAGTACATGTATGTGTAAATGCTTGAACCAGAAAGTGGACTCTATCCACATTCTTCTGGACTACTGTAATGCAAGCATACAATATCATTTTGGCACTGTCAACAAACTGTATCACTGTTCTGTTCTCGCTCCCTAATCAACAAATTTTGATGATCTGTGCTACAATACCTGGCACTAGCTTTTTAAGTGGCAAACACTTCAAACCATGTTCTGACACAAAAAGTGAAGGAAGCTGCGGGAGCTTTGCATGCACACAATATTGTAGCAACACATTCTGTTTTCCTAATGATTTTCTGGTCTTAACAAAACTTAAAAAAACAAACTCACAACTGAACAATGTATATACAGTATAACTTTGTTATAGCAACATCGGTTTCTGCGACACCTTGTCTATTGCGTCAAATATTCAATGGTACGAACTAATTCCTCATAAAGCAACTGTTTTTATACCTTGCTTAGTACGACACGCACAAATGCTTCAACCTCGTATGTAACGTCATTTTCATTCCTGAATTTCTCTGATATGGACATTGAACGTAATTTAGAAAGTGTGTATTGGGCAAGTAACAGGAAACAGATGAAGATAACTGATTACTGTACTCGTATCTAGGTACAGTAAGGCACAACAATTGATGTAATCTACTGTAATTTGGTGAGTGGGCCTACCTTTAATATACAGTATTAGTGCGGTGTGTATTGTCAGTGAAAAGCGCTGTAATATGTCTTTGATATTACACATTTGGGCAATTCCACGTTAATGTTACGTTAGTCTGTACTTAACTATGTATTTCACTAAAAAATGCAACATTTTAACTCGGTTTTGGTAGATTTTTACGTGACTAACATAAGGCTACTGTGGAAGTGCCCATTTCGGTTACAACGACATTCGTTTATAACGACACTATTTTTAGGTCCCTTTGATGACGTTATAACCAAGTTCTACTGCATTTATTTTTGCAATGCATTTATCTCAATTTAGTATTTGTTACTTGCTCTCTCATACCCCACAAAGAAAGGCCTATTAATCATTTAAAGCAGACTGATTTCTATATGTATCACCTACTTTAACATTAAAAACTGCATTTTTCTTACACAATGAATATATAGCGTTTCACATGATTCTCAGAATAAATAGTGATTATTTCTGTAAAGTGATTGGTTTCTCTAATGGAGGTGCAACATATTTCTATGCTGGAGGAACTAGATTTTTATATATTTACTTTGATGAACTTCAGACTGCAAAGGGTTAATGAGCCTGGCTAAAATATTTCAGTTTAGCAACACAGATTATGAAAGAAGTGAATGGTGCCAAGCTAAATTCCTGGCGTAGTGATTACACAAACAAGGAGCTACCTCCTTTGTTATGTAAGAAGCAAGTTGCAATGAATTACAGGTTAAGGAAGTTGTCGTTGTATCAGCAGATAATGCAACTGAACTCTGATAAAAAGTTCAGGGGGACACTGCAAGAGATAAGAGGCTGGCTTTAAGTTTGGCAGACCGAAACAAACAGATAACAGAACCCTCAAAATGTCTAGATAAAACATGCACTTTCATGAACAACTGTATGTGGAAACATTAGTTGTTCACTACACCTAACAGGGCCATGGGGCTGCCACTGAACATGCCAATGCAAAAAAAAAGTTTTGCCTGTCTTTTTTTTTTACAAAGTGGTCTCTCTTATATAAGGTTTTTCTGCCAGTGTCATTTGAGAAAAAGATGACCTTCTGTGGAACTCAACAGAAAAAATGTATGCTTTTTACTTTTCTGTTGTTAATATCCTGCTTACACAGAGCTGAATGGTAGGATGACTGGTGAGTAATGAAGGGAAAGGATATGAAATGATGCAGTCATGGCCTAATCCAGGTCCATATCCTGACATTTGCTAGAGGGACTGAGGAAAACCACAAAAACCTCTACTATCATTGCCAGTGCAACTAGCCAAGATCCAAACCAATCACCTCCCGAGTATAGGTCCAAAGTGTTACCACTACCCAACCAACCTGCTCAGTCAATATGTCAAAAATGTAGCCCATATTTGGGGGTGTAAAACATCATTTGTCTTGAAATGGCTGAATTTCACTACTCTAATCCTGCACAGAAAGAGAAAATAACTATCTGTCTCTTACTTCATACCATTTGCATTTTCATGCATAAAGAGTCTTGCCCTGCAATAAAGCATGAACAGATATTTTTCCCAGACATAATACAATACTTGATGACACTTCTAGGACTAATGGTAGAGATAGATCTTGAGAGGTATTTAGTTCTATTAAAGCCTTCTTCTTATACAATCTAACCAGTGTCAGCCTGGCAGCAACTTCATGCGGATGTGTATGAACACAGGAAACTTGCAAGTTTGTGAAAGACAATAACAGTCAACTGTTATGAACTGCTGCTACCATAACCATATTTTCTGAAACAACAAAACTGAATCTTTCCCTGTTATGGTACTGTGTCATTCTGAACCCTACGATGTCCTTGGCTTCACTCACAGTTATACCAGATTCTTCTCATTCAAAATCTTTAGACATATTGTCTCTGCAAACACTTTGATCTCCCTTGCTAATATTTCCCATTCATGCACAACCATGCCTGTGGGAGTATAAGAATATTTACTTATAAAGTTACAGGAAGTTTCTGTGACTTATCTTTGTATTCAGGAAAGAGGAATCATTTTTTAAAATCCCAATGGGGCTGGAAAAGCAGGTTTCTGGCTTTGCTCCCCCCTCCCTCCTGCCAGCACCCATTCCTGAGTGCCTGAGGTGCGTGACAGGTCTAATATTAAAATCTGCAGAAGCCAACATATGAATGATTTAGCCACAGCAAGCTTGGGTTCAGTGCATGAATGAAGTGCTTCCTTCATTTTTAAGCAGACATACATCCAAATCCATTAACACAGTAGCTAGCTAACTGCATATGTTAGATAGAATAAGCATGTACTCACTTGAAAATGTGCTTGTTGTCGATGTTTGGAACCTTGAGGGACTGCTGTTGCTCAAGGGGCATGACCACAGGATTACAGTCTCTAACACTCTCACTAGCTTTGGCACTCAGATCCAATGGCTGTTCTGGGGTGCTGCTTGAGGGGGGAAGAGCCATCACTATGGGGGGTGTGGTGCTGTGATCCTGCTTTGCTGAAGGCACAGCTTCAAGTCTCAGACCATTGGCCAGCGCCACAATAGGCGATGGAATAGTTCGTCCAGCAATGTGGGAATGGGGCGGCGAGAGATACCAATGAGGAAATAGACCTCCATGATGATGGGGTGGTGTTGGATAGAACGGCATAGCACTGGGTGGCGTTGGGACACCAGGAATGTTGGTCACAGGATCAGAACTGGAATGATTCATGTTAGAACTAAGAGCAGCGACTGCAGCCAATGATGCAGCCATGGACGTGACTGACTGTAATGTTGTCATTCCAGACGTTGACGAAGAAAGGGAGGGGATGACGTTGTTTGGAGCTGCTGTAGAATAGCCCCCTTCATGGGGCAAACTTACTGGCGGAGTTTCTCGTAGGGAACTGCTAGCCTGACTATTGGTGCTGGTACTGCCACTGTCTGATGCTGCTGGACTCTGGCGCCATCCAAAACAAACGAAACTGTTATAGCAAAAACCGCAACATTCTGATTGCAAACTGAATGCTACCCTTGTATCTTTTGGTTTGCCCCTCTCACTCTCAGGATGAAGACAGAATATTTGTACCTAGAGAGAAGGAGGGAATTACATAATGAGGAAGTTAAGACTCTGACATGGTGACAATGTCAAGCAAGTGCGGAATAACTGTAAATACACAGGAAGCAGTAAGAAAAAGAAGAAAAACATAAAATGTTGACTGGGATGGTTGATGGAAACAGGACACTTGGAAGTTTTAAGAGTAAATGGGAGATAAAATGCATCTTAAAAAGCAGGGCTTAAGGATCTGAACTGGACTGAACTGATTCAATTCTCAGATTTCATAACGCAAATAATTTTCATCTGTCTGTTGTGCACTCTGAATTCTGAATGTCCTCAATGGCGAAATGAAGTCCATATTTTATTCCACTTAATTTGAACATCATTCATCAGAGATTAAGAAGTGCTTTGGAGAAAGAGTAGTTTGAATGGATAACTCAGAGTATATATATAGAATTTTTGGATGATTATTTTTTTTATTGCTAGTGGGTTGGGACTAAGTCCCTTGTACTGCGGCCACTTCTGGCCTATTGTACCAGGCCCAAATGATAGGTGAGGGTGATTGTGGAGCAGTTGGTGGAATAAAGATTGGCAGGGGAAACCGAAGTACTTGGAGAAAACCTGCCCCAGTGCCACTTTGTCCACCACAAATCCCACTTGACCAGACCTGGAATCGAACCCGGGCAGCCACGGTGGAAAGCCAGCGACTAACCGCTTGAGCTATGGTGCGGCCTATTTTTGGGTGATAGTGGATAATGAATTGGAAGAAATTTTGAAGGAAATGGTCCTGGCCAAATTTTAAGGTATTACCCTATACTATCCTGGCATTTTTTTATGCCTGGAGGAACAGAAGAAAAGTATGCAAAACCTCAATCAAGATGGTCACACCTCCCAAACTGAGATTAGAAATATCCTACAATATGAAAAACACAGTAACAAGATTGGTCGTCCACTTTCAATTCCATTTTTAAAGACATGTTCTATATCAGGGTTTACATTCTTCAAGTAACTAAATCAAGAAACAAGCACTGGACACGATTTGCATGCAGAATTTTAGTAGGAGACCTCAAGGAGTGAAATAATTCAGAAAACTGACACAGAAGAAAATTTTGTGGGAGGTGTGGATTGGATTGCACTCACTCGGGACAAGGATCCACAAGAGACTGAATAGCAAGTTTTCTTTGTAAACTTAGAGATTTTCACAGTGGTGAAGATTCATGTTGTGCCCTTCTGGATTATGACTGTGTATGTAGCCTAGTAGGTGAATACCTGTTTCAGGGGAATATTTGCATTTCAGCCCTGAGGGTAGAGGCAATATGCTCCTCCAAAACACTGTCATCCACCTACTGGAGTAAATACAGTATCATAATCCACAGGGCATAACACAGAATTTCTCTTTGGCTGAAATCATCAACATTCTGTACTTTCTCATGTGTCGTCACCATGCGGCATAGTACCAAATAGAGATAACTGCTGTAACACACTATGTAGATAAGCTTCAAGGTGCACAACTGACCCCATGCTGTAAGCATGTTCCCCAGAAACCAAGACAGAAGAATGTCAGCCTAGTTTCATAAAATTATAGCTGTGCAAACCCCAAACAGTGAAACCCTGGGATCAAGCAGGCCATGGCCCTCCCTAGAATTGCATTTTGGAGGTTTTCAGTTGGAATCTTGGTCAGTACACCTTATATCCGGAAAGACAGCTCTTTCAGGTCTTTCCTCAGTCTTTCCAAACAAATGTTGGGACAGTACCTCAATTAGGCCATGGCCAGCTCCTTCTGAATCCTTTCCTATGCATCATTCACTCTCCTCAGCCACCCTAGCACCAGATGCTAATAGTCCAGACATTGCCAGCATTGTAAAACAACAAAACCTTCATCCTCAAATGCATGCATATAAGTGCATTATCTTTGAGGTTTTGGCTTACTTCACTCTCAAGACTTTGACTGAGAGACACACTGGACTGCATAATGTCACTGTAACTACCAAATACAACAATCCGCTCCCTTTGGAAATCAAGAACGTGACAGTGAATCTGGTTAAAATTAAGATTACACAAGGGCGAGAGCCCTGAAGATGGGTAGTGAGATGCCAGACTCATCTCATTCTCACTGTCACCTGTATGAGAACTTCAGATCTCACATACAGAAAAATAAATTCTGGAAATGTTTCCTATTATTCACATCAAGTTGACTCAAGGGAATCCTTCCTGAGAAGATATAAGTTGTATGTGTGGTTAAGATAAATGTAAAAGAGGATTCAAACCACAAAAAAAAAAATGTACCACCACAACACCTGTACATCGCTTTATCAGCTATGGCCACCGTACATATTTGTAAAAAGTAGAGAGTGAATTTCAATAATAAATATGTCTGGCTCTTCTCTACCAACCAGGTGCTCTTGGGAAGCAGGAAAGAGAAAATTTACATTCTTACATATCTGAAGCAGTTGCTGTTACATTATTTGTTACAACAAGTGTATTCAATATGATGGTAGCGGTAATCCCCCCCCCCAATGGGCATGATGACAATAATCACTGTGAAAGAAACAAACTTCACTGATCAGAGTTCTTCTGATATTAATCGTTAGTTGCTCTGATACTCTCAAGACGTTCCCCTCATTTTATGGAACATGAAGGTTCACTGTAACGAGTATTTGCCACTAGACTCTATCCTGAGCTGAAACCCATCGCACTGCTTTATGATCTATTTTAATATTGCCCTCACATCTATGTGCAGTTTTTTCGCCATCATATTTTCCAACCAACATTTATAATCTCTCCCAAACTTTCTATGTGCCTTGTCCCTCTATCTCATCATCTTGATTTGATCAACTGCCAATGAAAAAGGAATTTCTACACAACAGAATAAATACTGAATAAGGTCTTGAATTTTAGATATAATTTGAACCTGACCTGCTACTTTATTTTGAGTACGAACGGCAAGCTTTTCTGTATTTGGCACATAATTCCACTACTAAAATTGTGACGTCACATGCAATTTTGTCGTCGTTAAACTTTCCAAAAATGCGGCGTGTACTTACGGTGGCGGAGTCTAGGAAGGCTCTGCCGTCACACATACAGCACTTGTCCCGGGGCTTCCAGTCCTCTACGTCTACTTTCAGAGGCGTCTTCAGCACTGCATCTTGGTATAGTTTCCATTTTCGCCTGCCCATCAACTCCTCAGCCACTCTTTCCAGACCTACAACAAATGGAACATGGACGCAACTGTTAAATTTTGCACGTGAGGGCAGGAAGCCACAGGTGACGATATTTTTGTGTGTGCGGGGAGGAACCCGTCGCAAAATGGGATGTCGAGGCCAAATTTACCTTCCTGCAGCTGCTGCTGCAACCAATTCACTCAACATTTGGTTCACCTACTTTTCAATTTTCACCCAGTATTTACCTCACGAATATTGCGGTGGGTCATGGCAGAAGCAGTTACGTACGTACTCTGTCGATGACAAGTAGGGCCGGGCTGTTCCAGCCAGGCAGCACGACCCCCCGAACCAGCTGATGCCTCACTCAACACCGAACACAAATGCGCTACAATTTGCACAAAACACGTGCACACACAACTGCACTACGCGTCTGCCTACACCTTCTAACACATAACTTGACTACTATACCGCACCTGGACGAAGATGCTACCGGAAACATGGCTGTATGCATCGGGGGGTCCCGGCTAACTGCAATCCTGACCCCTTGCCGAATTGTTTTAGGGATTTTTTGGCAACAGGTCGCAAATATTTGGCAGCAGGCTGCCTCACAATGCAGCAGGGTAATTTGTCTGGTGTTGCTACAACACTTGGGGCACTCACCTACTACGAAAACCATGTTCTTCGTCCATCTTTGCAGCTCTTTTTTGATCGCTCGGCGCTCCTGAACGCAGCGAGCATACGAGCACTCCGCCATTTTTGCCTTCACCCTACCAGTGACGTCACGCCGCTCATGACGCAACACGTTGCACCGCCTTGCCGCGTCTTCGATGCGATCTTTAGCGAGCGGCGGGAGAGCGAGAGGAGGAGGGGGGGGTTCACGAAAAAAAAAAGCAGAAAAAAAGAACGAAAAGCTATCAATTAAATTTGTGAACTAATCGATAGAGGTACCGTCAGATGCATGTCCGCAGTCGTTGTCGGTTTTTGCACGCCGTTTTTTTGATCTCACACTCACGCACAGTTTTCATCGACCCTCCCCCCACCAAATATATATATTGCAGCAGCAGCAGCAGCAGGCCCTACGTTTCACTTCCGACACTGTAATGACCTTTTGGGATATGGATCTGGCCCACGCCGGCTGGCCACTGTGGAGCAGAACGCAAGAACCTAACAGTAAGACGACTGGCTACAGACTGACCCTGACAGTTTTTCACGGCTCGGCCGCAGCAATGCACATGCAGCAGCTCCGATATTTCGCCTCAGCACGCCACGCCACGCCCAAACCAGTTACTTTTCGGGAGGGGGGACTCTTGCATCTATTCGGAAAAATACACGTAACAATTACCACGGCCACCCGCGCGCTGACATTGTTGTGCAACTGTCAGCGCGTCTCCCGCTGCAGACTGCGCGCACAATGCGTTATCGATTGTAAACAACAAATTGTAAAACGTAACCTAACTTCCCTTTCGGTAGTGCCATTTCCTAGGACCCGCTGTGGTGGTCATGCTGCCGTGACTCCGTTTCTTATATCGGACAGGAACTGACTTTTCGTCCAATAGGCTGCTTAATGTTTGTGCCGTCATGACTCGGTCCGGAGAATGTCGTTTGTGATAACGGTGTCATTAAGGACACGTGACTTGGTGGCAGGAACACATACTGCAGTGTTGGTTCTACTTTTTAACTGCACGGCGCAATAGTGAATAAGGATGTCGTGGTTTATTTCAGGGTGGTGCAGAATCCGTCCGTGCGACTGCTGTACCAAGGGCAGATACTATGCAGGGAGACGAAGAAGGCGATGGTCCAAGCAGTGTCTCACATTTACATCTCATCCTGTAAGTGTTATCAGTTAATTGGTCAGTGTCAATCCTGTTGGCCTGTAACGCCGGACACAACCTACCTCCCAGAACACTGCTGCGAAGCACGGCGGCACAACGTCGTGACACACAGAATCGAGCAAGTATGAGCAGAGAGAATGCTGAGCATGGGCGTCATCTGCATTTTGACACCCTACAGTCTGGTAGATCGTTACCGACATTTCTGGGGAACGTACTATCTCGTCTTCAAGGTAGAAAATAAGCGCTAAAGATGGAGGCAGCACGTGCCTCCGAAACTCGTTAGTGATGTACCAGACTCCACGGTGTAAGCTCGTAGGAAATGGCAATCTTCATAGTCACTCTGTGAGAACCCCATAGCTCACATAAAGTAGTGTCATGCTTCATGAGATCCGCGATTTTATACGAAGCTCGACGAGCCGAAACCGAAGTAACCAATTCACTGGTCCTCGTTCTGTTCATATTCTCACACGCAGTTTCCATCTACATGTTGCCCCTGTTCACATTTCAGATTATCAGCCAGACTGTTCGCTACACGCACTTCCTTCTGATGCGTGCTACACGTCTCGCTCATGTCGGCCTTTCTAACATAGGTCTGCTAACTGACGCTTTTACTCATTTGTCCCACGTCCATTTCGCTAACTCCATCAAAATTCTGTGCGCATCTTTGCCCGAAATATTATGTTTGCTTGTTGCCAACTGCTTGTCTTTGTCACTGTTTAGGCAAGACAGTTGGCAGTGATGAGGAGGGGCACTGGGACCCGATCTGAGAACCACGCAGCCCAACAATGTTTGAACACACCGGAAAATAAGACGATGCAGCACAACCACGTTCCGAGCAGACCGGATAGTTCTCAGTTCTGTGTTGTGACGGGGTTCTCATGGGGCCCATCCTATCCAATAGGCACAGGGGGGCTCTTTCCCCGGAGGGGGGAGCGGTGCAGGCCGGTGCTTGAAACTGGCCGTTTACCTCTCTCTAGTACCGAACTTACGAATAAGTAAGTGGAGCTGTACCTCCACCTCCACTTACGTTTCATGGCGCGTGATTAATTAGGCAAAGGATAATTTGTCCATTTATCATAGCCACGTGTCGTACCAAACGCATTGTTATGAAGGCGTATATTGGCTGTGGAGGTCAGGTGTGAACTTCACTCTCCCGGCGGGGACGTCCTTACCGGGTACCGAACCGTGGAGCTGCGGGTTAAAATCCCCGAGACCAAGAGCAGGTGCGAGGACGTTATTAAACTTGATCTTAGAATAAGAGACTGTGGTGGTGTAGTCGTCACTGCAACAGCCTGTCTTTCTGTTCTGGACGACAGCCCGCGCTGTAAGGCCCAACAGACCTGCGTCCTCGTCGGGAGGTACTGGGCAGTACCGGCTGACTGGTGATATTCCTCATTTTCTTCAGTTCCTTCAGACAAATGTCCGGATAGTACCTAAAATTAGGCCACGGCCTTTTATTTCCCTTGGGCACCGACAGAGAGGGGGGCAAGTCAAGCAGCCGCTCCCACTTCCATATATTTGGAAATCTGAAGTGTATTTTTTTAAGTATTCCTTTATCCTGAACACTCTGGGGCGTTCGGTAAGCATACTGTTAAACGCCCTGCCCCCTCCCCGGCTGGAAGGAACCCTCATGTGCCTATCATGCCCCTTCCAGTTCAGCTTTCACTAATCATCATATCATATGCCACTTTGCATCACCGCCTGAACTGCTGACGGCGTAGTGAAATAACCGTAAGGAAATAATCTCTTAACATTTAAAACGGTAACCCGGACGTGGGTGGGCGGCTCGGAGGCTCGAAGCCTGGCCCCTATTTCCATCACGCTGTAATTGTTACATAACGATCTGCGTGCAAGAGTGGCGCTCACAGCTCCCGTCTGTGTGACCAAGATCGATTCCCGCCGGCGGCAGCCCTCACTGGCGATCAATAGCTACTGGTGGCCCGTCTGATATGGCTGCACCGCGCCACTTCCTCGTTAAGTTCAACCACTGGCGGAGGAAACGGGAGTATCTCTCACATCTTAACATGTCGCGACTATTCCGTACGGATTCCACTATTCTATAAATTGGAGGAGGGAGGGACATGCCAAGGTTACTGGAGAGCCTGAAACATTACATTCTTATCCCGGAAGATGCAATGGCGCCGGCAAATTTACTTTTTAATATTATCGTGACACATCCGTCTCGGAATCCCGGAATTACTTCAAGCTTCCACTTGTATCATCGCTCTTTTCAAATATTTTCAGCTCCTATTCTGGAGTCGTTGGTTGTGACACCGTGTAGAGTGGTGCCAACAACATACTGTCTCCATTTTGAGGCTAGAATTTCGTTTCCAGCCCTTCAGAACTAAAATGCGTTGTCTATTTTGATAGCCAATCGGACGGCCAGGCAGGCATCTTCGTCATGTGATGCTGCCTATAGTCTCTGAAACAGTTCTGGATGTAGGCCATCCATTCAGTGAGCAACATTAAGGAAGAAAGTCCCACGTGTTCAACGGGATATTTGGTTCCAACCGTAGGCTCAAAACAGAATCTGCATTTCTAATGATGAAGTAACAGTCTGCATCACTTTCTGATTGTGAGTGATCGTCATTTTTTCTACATATCATTGCATCCGCTTTGCCTCAACGCCCTCCATTCATCCGTGGCGTGGTGCTAGGAGAATGTGAGATTTGGCAGTAGTTAGTTTATAAGAACTGGACTGGGAGAAATGGTTCCTGTGCAGGCAGGTCAGCAGAAAAGCTCGGGGAACGGCCAACACTATCACATCGCGGACTTCTGTGTGTATATAGTATGTTGGGAGCGGCAGTGATGATGCCGTGAGGCGCTGAGAACAACGTCGTGGCGTCTACCCGCCCCCATTTCCAACTCTCGTGGTATCCCGTTTGCAAACAGCACGGGCAACACACTTTCGCCGAAAATCAAGAAATTTCATTCTGGGCTTTTGCGTCCGTCAACTTGAGGATCTGATGGATGTGATGCCATGATATCTGGTAGTTGCCAACGCCTCCATCTTCAGGGTAGCAGACTTCTCTGGAGAGAGATAGGTACGAGCCCTCTTTCTTGACTGTAGCAGGAGACAGCAGCTGGCTCTGGAACACTGCTAATTGCTTATCTACGAGACTGCACGGGGTCTACTTCTGCAGGAGCAGTTCTAATGTTCTCCTTTCATCAAAGCCTTCTATCACCAATCATTTTGTCATTTTTCTCGCTTGCTAATTACGTCCTACAGAAAGTATAAAGTATTCGCCGGTGACAGGGGAAACGGGAGATCCTACAATGTATGTGTATGTGCGTGTGTTCATCTGTGTGTATATATAAAACAACGGCGGGGAACCCCCCCCCCCTCCTCAGACCGCCTTTGTTCCTGCTGCATTCCAGCCTTGCGCAGGTCAGGGACCTATTGGGTACAGTCCGGTAGAAGCGAAACCAACCTGACCGGAAGGGCCGCAGTTTCTTTTTATTGCGCCGTGTTGCTTTGTTTTGTTTTTGGTTCTTATTTCTTGTCCCGGGCGGGCAACTGCGCTTCAAGTAAAGGTAGGTCAGGACACATGGAGCTGGTTGCGGCGCAACAAGGACCTCAGGGACACAGCACACACCTGTGTTTGTTTATCTGACTTAACTCAGAATGATCAGTGGATAATCAATTGGAAAGGTTGTTGTCATGGCCTAATTTGGTGCGTGCAAGAGTTGTATCTTCTGCCCTGCCGTTTGGGACAGCGCGATCCTCCGTAATATCGCTGAACTGGCCGACTACGTGGCATCGTGTCCCAGAAAACAGCACTCGCCAGGGTCATAGCTGCGACAAGCTCAAACTCGACCTAACGTCAGGTTCTGTCATGAAGGAACTGAGGAATATCACGAAGATCAGCCACCTTTATAGTTCAGATTTCTTCTTGAGAAGCTGATAGTCACTCACCTGCTGAAGAAGTTCCATTTCTTATATGGAGGACGATGATTCGCCTCTGTTTTAATAACGTTGACCAAGTTGAATCCAGTACGCACCTGAGTGTCTTGATATCTTTTGTACGCATTTCCCATGTCCGCCATGCAGACTACGGGCCCAAGATATTTCCTGAATTGTTTTCTATTGTCTATATTGAACGTTTCTGGTGACGCCATCGATAACTTGGGCTACACGCCGCTAGTTCTGTGCAGGGATTGCAGTGAAAGGCGGGGCAGAAGAGACCTCTGCCAGGACAGGCGGTGTCCTGGCAGAGATTCGAAACGGACACCTCCCAAATAAAAATCAGAATCATTACCGAC